AACACCCAGGTCACCTTACACATGGCTTGTTCACTAATATTCATGCGTTTGCAATCTAATATTAGAATATTTTTAATGTTGAATATTTTTTACAATTTTATTTTGCTAATGGTTTGGTATGATTTTTTTTTTTTTTTTATGTTTTGCATTTTTTGAGCGCTCACTCAGCAAGTGGGCCTGCTTACCACAAGGGCGGACACGCCATTTAGTTATTAAAAACATAGTTCCATATTTGATTGATTTTAAATGTAAAAAAAAAACCCGGCATAACAATATTTTTTTGGTGATGAAAATTAGCGACATGAGACTACATGAATATTTTTCATGGTGACAAACAGAGCTCCCCCTACGACCACTCGACTGGCATGGCCGGCTCCATCGGGTACCACCCGTACGCAGCGCCTCTGGGCTCGTACCCGTACGGCGACCCGGCCTACCGCAAGAACGCCACGCGCGACGCCACCGCCACCCTCAAGGCCTGGCTCAACGAGCACCGCAAGAACCCGTACCCAACCAAAGGCGAGAAGATCATGCTGGCCATCATCACGAAGATGACCCTGACCCAGGTCTCCACCTGGTTCGCCAACGCCCGCAGGAGGCTCAAGAAGGAGAACAAGATGACGTGGACGCCGCGCAACCGCAGCGAGGATGAGGAGGAGGACGAGAATATCGACCTGGAGAAGAACGACGACGACGACGTGACTCCTAATAATAATAATAATAATAACTTCAAACCCACCGGAGACAAGACTCAAGAATCCTCGGATACGGAAGCAGGTCGGTGGTGCAGCATGCGGAGAATGAAAGGGGGTTGGAAAAAAAAACATCAATTTTTCATCGCGGTCGTTTCTACTCAGGGTGCAAAATTGATTGCTGGTTAATGGCGGTGTATTATTTATAATGGGACAATCGCTTTAAATAATAATCACCTTGAACTGCCCTCGTTTGACTTGCCAGTGGATGAAACTGCTGCTCATGCAAAGTGTTGAGCACGCCATTTATCTCAAAATGCATAAATACAAGTGTGGATTGCCCTCCTGAAAATAAAAAAAATGTTTCTTCTTTTGTGACACTATAAAGTTATTTTTATAATAATTTAGGTTGATGAATTAAAACAATTTCTCGTGCATCTAAAGACGTTGTTTTCCTGCCCGCAGATGCCAAAGCGCTGCACCCAGTGGACGTGGGTTGCGATCGCTTCAAGGAGGACCCCTTGCACCCCAAGGACGCGGACCCCCTCCTGAGCGACTCCGAGTCCAAAGAACAGGAGGACTCGCAGGAACGGACTACGGACTTGTTGTTGGATTCTTCTTCTTCAGCCTGCGGCGGTAAGCCGACCACGTCATCCCCACGCTCGGTGGGGGCCCGTTCGTCGGACCTGAGCCACGCGCCCACCTCCGTTATCCACTCGCCCCCTTCAGCCCCCAAGCCTAAACTGTGGTCCCTTGCGGAAATCGCCACCTCATCGGATCGCTGCAGAAGCAGCGGGGACACGCAGCAAGTCCAGCGGAGCGAGCAGCAGTCTTGCCCGGTCGTCATGGGCCCCGCGTCGGGCTCCCCTTCCCGGTCCTCCCCCGGCGTTCTCTCGCGGCCCCTCTATTACGCGTCGCCCTTCTACCCCGGCTATACGAACTACCACGGGGCCACTTTCGGACACCTTCACGGCTCCGGCCCCAGCAGCACCCCCTCCTCCACGGCGCACTTCAATGGATTAAACCAGACTGTGTTAAGTAGAGCCGAAGCTTTGGTGAGGGAGAGCCACAGAGTGAGGGGCCAAACGCAGGTAGAGCTTTGTAAAGACCCCCCTAACGAAATGAAGAAAGGTATGTCGAACATTTAACAGCTCCGACATTAAAAAAAGGACTTCTTTTTAATTTATTTGAAAAAAAAAACCAACAAAAACAATCCAACATCTGAGCATTATATTCGCCCTCATTGAAGAAAAAAAAATGTTTAGTTTCTCAACGAGTGTAAACGAGAATGGTCTTAAGGCTGCAGCCGGTTATTTGTATTAAACATGTATATTTAATGTAGCTCTTTTGTATTTAAGAAAATGGACGACACGCTATCTTTGAAGTAAATTATGGAGAGAGAAACAACTATATAAATATATTTGTGCAGCGGTTATTTTGTGGGTGGAAATGTGTTTGTATAAAACAATAACAACAACAACAACAAAAAGAGAGGGGGCAGTGTGAAACTTGGCGTCCGCCTCGAATTCTATGACACTCGAGGGGGGTATAAAAAAAAAGCCACCAGTTACAGATAAAAATAACATTGAAAGACTGCAGTTTGAGCAGCGAAGATTTTTTTTTAAATCACACCAGAAGTATCTAATCCATTCTTATTAAAAGTTTCCGATAATAATAAGGCGTTTAAAGCCAATTACCTGGCTTGTTTTATGCGGTGCAATCAGGTGGCGGATCGAAGTAATGAGCTCGATTTTATGCCGAATTTAGACCTCATTTCAATTGCAAAGGGTGCGTGCCTGCTTAAAAAAAGAGAAAGAGAGAGAGAGAGAGAGAGAGAGAGAGAGAGAGAGAGAGAGAGAGAGAGAGAGAGAGAGAGAGAGAGAGACGAGACCGTGCATTCACAGCATAGTGGCCCCATTAATTCAAGGCGAAGGGACACACTCGCTATTTTTAATGTCTGTTTGGACACACACACACACACACCCACACACACACACACCCACACACACACACACACACACACACACACACACACACACACACGCGCGCGCGCGCGCGCACGCGAGTGGAAGGAAAAGTCGGTGGGTGGGTGCTTGTTTGTCATGCATGTCGTGGAAACTCTTCCAACTTCCGCAGGTAGGTGTCACACTTGCTCCTGATTTCACAACAGGAGGCCCCAAAGGTTCTGGTTCTGTTGGTGCTGCTTCTGCTACGTTATCGGGGTCACACATAGTGCTGTATAATAATAATAATAATAATAATAATAATAATAATAATAATAATAATAATAATAATAATAAAAATAATTCAGACAACTTTGACGGGAGATTTTAAAGTGCGCTATACAGTAGTACAATAATAAGCAGTTAATAGCCTTATATGACAACTCCGAGAAGATACTTACATTACATTAGAATCTTAAAATGACTAATTGAAGGGAATACAATTGCAAACTATAAAAAATATTTGTAACAAAATAAAAATACATATATTTGATTTAGAAATGCATACTTTTATTTTTCGTCATTCGTTTTTGATTTTTTTTTTAGAAATGTGCAGGCAATGATTGGTACTCTTGTGGTGCATCACCCCCCCCCAAAAAAAAAGAAAAAAAAGAAAAAGAAAAACACTTAAACACGTCACATTTTTGGAAGTCTCACAATATTTTGGCCTGATGTACAGCATAAAACTGACATGGTTTAAGATAAGATAAGATAAGATAACCTTTATTTGTCCCACACTGGGGAAATTTTGAGAGAAATAACAACTCTGCAAATCTCTCTCTATATATATGGTAACCTTTAAAACTACAGTAAAAAAAATAGCATCTAATTTTGAATTTCGTTTCTGGCAGTAAAAGTATGCAGGCCAAAAAGCCTCAACTGCCACGCCTCCAGAACAAACGCACCCGTTAATAAATTCGTTTTGTCAGTAAATATTTAAAGGACACAACCATTAATATCATCATTATCAAAAAAATATTTTCTTGAAATTCTCCCCCCGGGCCTTTCACGTGTCACAGGTTGGCACGCACACACACGAACACATCAACGCGTAATGATGTGTGTATTCTTCTGCCGATTCCCAGGGGGGGGTTCAACTGCTCTACGTCATGTGTTCTAATTCATCATCGTCATTATTATTGTTATGTATATAATTACCGTTGTTTTATTTTACGGATAATAACTTCTGCATTTGTTTCTTTTTTATTATTATTATTATTTTTGCAGTGGCAAATAATGTTCCGCTGGGGGTTATCTCCACGCCCTCCGTGAGGTGTGAATAAATCACATGATGAGAGGGGTGGAGGGAGACAGCCTGACGTTTACGTGTCAAATGGGTTTGCGTTCATTTGTGTGTTTAGATTAGAAGACTCCAAAAGTGTCAAAGAGGGGATTCGCCCCCCACCCCCCGTCCCCTCCACGCCCCCC